CCACTTGGGGAGTAGTGAATCATCAGACAGAAGATCTTCCTCTCTGTCTCTCCTCCTCTCTGTATATCTGCCTTTCCAATAAAAATAAATAAACCTTGAAAACCAAAAAGTATTTTGGTTCGCTGGTTTCCTCTCCAGATGCTTGCAGTGCCCTGGACTGGATTGAATTCCCTGTTTCTCATATAGGTGTCAGAAGCCCAGTTACTTGAGGCAAAACTGTTGCCTTCAGGATCTGCAATTGGAGGAGGTTGGATGGGAGCAGAAACTCAGATACTGTGGTGTAGGATATATTAACTGGCTTTTAGTCAGATGCTTACTCTAGTATACCTGGCTTTGAATAGGAAATTAAGCCTAGAAACAAATTTTTAACTTTTCTAAAAAATTTATGGAGTTTTATTTGAAAGACAGACAAGTTTTACAGAGAGAAGAGACGGAGCTCTTCCTTCTGGTGGTTGACTCCTCAAATGGCCAAACGGCTGTAGCTGAGTTGATCCACAGTTGGGAGCTTTTTCCTGGTGTCCCACATGGGTGCAAGATCTCAAGAACTTGGGCCATCCTCTGCTCTTTTCCTAGGCGATAAGCAGGGAGTTGGATCTGAAGCCAAGCAGTTGGGACATGTATTGGCTCTCATGTGGGATGCTGATATTATAGGTGGAAAGTCAGCATGCTGCACTGTACCACTTCGCCAGCCCCACTTTTTTCCCCGGTAAAACTAAATTGTAGTTTTTGCCGGAATTAGTTCCCACCCCCCCCTACATATAGTATCTTAATTGCAAAAGATTGAATGTAGGGTTTAATAGTCTGATTTGTGTTGCTGTTACAGAATACTTCAGTGACTTAAGCTCACTAAACACTTTTCTTTACTAAGTATTTGTGCGGAACTTCACAATCGGGCAGCATCATGGTTTCAGCCACTGGCTCCCACAATAAATGTATGGCATCTTGGTAGGAGCGTAAGGGAGGAATCTCGTGGTGAGACAGGAAGGAGGAGACTGATGAAGGATCAGACCCACTTGTAACAACCTGCTTTCTGGGACACGGTTAACTTCTACCAGGTTGATCACATTGCATTAATCCCTTACTTGGGCTTTGCCTCCAAGATCTAATTACCTTTAAAAGACCCTGTCATCTGCAGATTCTACCATTTTAATACTGGCACACTTGTAGTCCAGTGTTTTATTTGTAAGTTCTTGCAAGATAAACCCATAGGATGAAGTTAAGAGATATTAAAAAATGCAGGTACCTTTTAAATCAAGCCCTGTTGAATCAGATTTAGATGGAATCTTACCTGAGTCAGCATGTAAATCCTGTTGAGATATTTCTTATAGCTAGAAGTTCTAGAAAACCAAATGAATGAGCACCTTATCAAATGAATACATAGGCTTCTTTGTTTTGTGTTTTGATTTCCCAGGTCCAGTTCTACTGCAAACTATTGGGTCTGCCTGAAGCACTTTACAAAGCTAACATATTTGTCTCTTAATTTGTTTTAGGATTTCCCAGGTTTCTGTCCTTATAGTAAGATCTAGGTACTATACATGAAATTGCTCACTCAACAGCAATCTCGTTTCATCGGTTTTGCACTTCGTATTTTCAGTGCTGTTTATAACTTATATAATTAGATTGCTAGAACTGTGTCCTGCATTGGTGTGTAAGCTGCATGAAGACAGATTTTTAATTTTTAATTTTTTTGCTGTGTTCATTGACAGTTTAAAATTGCTAAAATGTTTCAAAAATAATAGTGGGCTATGGAATAGGCAATTAGTATTTGCTGGTATTTTTTAGAGAACAGCTTCAACTTGAATCTTGAAAACAGTTAGGCTTAATCTGGGACATAAGTAGATAAAATAGCAGCAAGTATATTACAGTTTGTCTTTATGAACCTAAAAAAAAAAATTAAAACAACCCCCCCCACAAAAAAAAAAAAACTACAAAGTGAAAACTCAGTCTTGGCTCTGAGGGTCTGCATTGTTAGGAAGTTGGAATTGGGAGGTAGAGCCGGGAGTCCAGCCCCTATACTTTACTGTGGTGATGCAGCCATCTTCACTGGTCTCCCAACTATGAGGCGAAACACTCTACTTTCTTTATATTCTCAAAGTTGGAGGTTTTGTTGAACTCTTAGGTTTTTGCATTTCTAGTTTTTTTCACATTTAGGAAAATACGAACGTTGTTTGCATAAGCATTTTTCTACTTCCTTCACCTCTCTATACTTTTCGGGTGCTGCATTAGTGTTATTAACCTACAAATCGTTGAGGCTTTGTCTGTATACTCAGTACTTTTTCTTCCCAGGACCTTGATTTCTTGGGCCAGAGAGACTTGTGGGATATAACTGCTACCATAGAATTGAAAAGGAGAAGAATTTATATCTATTTTCATGTTTTGTATACATGACTGTGAATGTTTTCCCAATTGGCTTCATTCACACTGTGCTGAATCCTTGGGCAATGCTGATTACTACTTTTATTTTTTTAAAGATTTATTTATTTTTATTGAGAACCGGATTTACACAGAGAAGGTATGACAGAGAGGAAGATCTTCTGTCTGATGATTCACTCCCCAAGTGGCTACAACGACTAGAGCTGAGCCAATCCAGGAGCCAGGATCGTCGTCTGGTTTGGTCACATGGGTACAGGATCTCAAAGCTTTGGGCCATCCTTGACTGCTTTCCCAGGTCACAAGCAGGGAGGTGGATGGAAAGTGGAGCAGTGGAGACATGAACCAGCACTCATATGGGATCCTGGTGTGTCTGAGGCGAGGACCTTAGGCACTGGACTATCACGCTGAGCCTTTAGTATTATCTATTTTGAATTTATGTCCATAGCAATGGTTATCGTAAGTGGAGTAGGAAGCTTTTGACGTGATGGACAGGAGTTGTATAGGTCTCTGTATGTGGATGTGATTGGGAAAGTGATAAATCATTGAAGTTTGTGAGGGTGAAGAAACAGAAGGATGACTAAATCCATCTCAGAATATGTACTTTTACTCTGGTACAGGATTTTTAAAAATTTTGATATGAGGGAGAAATTGTGGTGCTTCTTTTCCTGTATTTAGCTAATTTCACTTAAGTGTCTTCTGGTTCTTAATCCATTTTACTGAAAAGACTTAATTTCATTCTTTTTCGTGGCTCAGTAATAAACCATTGTATATGCATGCCACATGTTTACTCAACCTTTGATGGATCCATGGTTGATTCCATATATTAGATGTTAAGCATAGCGCAACAATAAACAGAGTGCAGGTTTCAGTTCAATATGATTTAATGACTTTGGAATACATGTTTCAGTGACACTGATGGATCATCTGTCAGTTCTGTTTCCAATTTATTGAGGAGTTCCTATACTGTTTTCTGTAGTTGCTCTGAGTATTTTTATTCTTCGGCCTGGTGCAGTAGCCTAGCGGCTAAAGTCTGTCTTGAACGCACCAGGATCCCGTATGGGTGGTGGTTCTAATCCCGGCAGCCCTGCTTCCCATCCAGCTCCTTGCTTGTGGCCTGGTAATGCAGTTGAAGACGGCCCAAAGACTTGGGACCTTGCACCTGTGTGGGAGACCTGGAAGAAGCTCCTGGCTCCTGGCTTTGGATTGGTTCAGTGCCAGCCATTGTTGCCTCTTGGAGTGAACCACCGGATGAAAAACTTCCTTTCTATCTCTCATCCTCTTTGTATCACCTGTATTTCCAATAAAAATAAGTAAATCTGCAAAAAAATTTATATTCCTACTCAACATGTTTAAGACCTATTTCCACCTCCTCAAGCGTTTTTACTTTTTGAAAAAAAATCAGTCATTTTATTGATGTCTCATTGTGATTTTGGTTTGTATTTCCGTGATGGCTAATGCTTTTAAGTTTTTTTTGTGTTTGTTGGCCAGTTATATTTTCTTTGAGTAATGTCTGTTCAGATCCTGGCTCGTTGCTTAATGGGATTGCTAAAATGTCTGCTGTTGTATTTTTTGAGTTCTGTATATTTGGGATATTAATCCTTATTGAATTAAAAAGCTTTCATGTATTTTCTCCGTTTCCATTGGTTCTCATTCTGTTGTTTCCTTTGCTGTGTTTCTTAGTTTGTCATCATCTGTTTTGTCTAGATTTGCTTTTGGATTTTGGGTTCTTACTCAAAAAATATTTTCCTTTCCTAATGTTAAGTGTTTTCCCTACATTTTGTTTTATTCATAATCTCATGTCTTACGTCTAGGTCATTGGTCCTTTTTGAGTTAATTTTCATGTACAGTGAAATAGAAATCTGATTCATTCTTCTACATTGTATATCCAGCTTTTTTGCCTATATACTTTATTGATGAGTTAATAGATGCAAAATGTTTAAACAATGCATATTTACGTAGATATGTGTAATAATTAAAAGATGAATTAGCTTTTTTTGTTGATTTTACTAAAATGTGTGGAAAGTGCTTAGGAGGAGAGACGGTTTAAATTTACTGTTTTGGAGTTTAACAGTTCAACATTGCACAGCCCCGTTGGTCCAGGAATCTGGTGAGAGTGGCAGTGGTGTGGTGTGTATGGAGGTACATTCACTTGGGGAGGTGTGAGGCAGACGAAGATAAGCCCCACTTAGTGCTTATAACTTGTCTTCCAAGAAAACTACCTTCTGATGGCTTGCTTCAAATGACATAAAGAAATCTTATAGGCCCAATTTTTATACATACTCTGTATAAAACTATTTTTACTTGATTTTAATGTTAGTCATTAACTTAATATTTTGAGAATCAAGCCTTCAGTACATGGACCTTTGATAAACACCTATCATTCTACCATATTATTTTCATTGTTACTTTTGATAATTGACATGATTGAGAACTTATAATTATAGTTACATATAATTCTATATATGCTGTTTTATATTTTATGTTAGGTTTCTAAAATAATGTTAGAAGATTTAATTTACTTCATAATATTCTGAATGTAAACCCTTATTTTGTGTGCAGACTGATTTATTTGTTCTATCATTGTTTATAAGCCACTATACTGTTTTGTTATTTCATTACTTGTGTAGGTCTAAAAGATCTCAGATTGCTGTAACTGAGGGTATATTTGAACTTCCAAATCTCACAATTCAAGCTACAAGAGCACAGACACTTCTGCTGCAAGCAATCTATCAGAGTTGGTCTCATATTGGGAATTTTAGCTCTTCAGGAGTAAATGAAGCTTTGATGAATGAAGTCTTCCAAAATACAGGTAAGAGCACAATATTCTTGTCAATGCTATGGAAAATTCATAAGAAAAGACAGTAGTACTTTATCATTCAAATCCATATGTGTACTATGCTCAAGTTGTACTGTTTTTTTGAAAGTGAACATTTTTGACTTATGTCTAAAAATTAAATTATCTTTTCTATTTTATTGTTTTTTGATACAATTTAGTTGGCAGTGGGCTTTCCCCTACCTCTCCCCCAAATTCCCTCCCCGCCACTCCCCTCTAGATTCATAATGTGTGTCCATCATGAATTTTCCCAAGTCCATCATGCTTCCACTGGAGTTTCTCTCAGCCATGTAGGAGACTGACAGTTCGTTGTAGGTTAATTCTTGATTCCTGAGGTCTTTAAGTAGGTACAGTGAGGATTAGATCTTAGTTGTTTATGGGCAGTACCAAAAACAGTGATAGAGTGGACATTGACCATCTCAGGTGATTATAAACAATCAACTCCTGTGGATAGTTGACTAATGAATTATATCACAAGTTCTTGTTACATTAGGTACAGGGAAATGAAATAACATTGATTAACATAGAGTAAGATTCACATATGATTTCTCTAGACTTGACATATCATATTAGGTCAAACATGATATCTGACCTTTTGGGAATGGCTAATTTCCCTCAGCATGATGAATGGTGTTTAGTTTGGCCCATTTGGCCACAAAGTAATATATTTCATTTTTTTTAAATCGCCGAGTAGTATTCCATAGTGTAGATGAGCCAGTCCTCTGTTGAAGGGCACTTAGATTGCTTCCATGTTCTTTTGAGTGTTGATTGTGCTGTAATAAGCATTGGGGTGCATGTTGCTTTGTCAAGTAACAAGTCTTTTGGATATATTCCTAGAAGTGGTATTGCTGGGTCATATGGTGGGTGAATTTTTAATTGCCTAAGTGTTCTCCATACTGAGTAACGTAGTGACTGCACTAGCCTGCGTTCCCACCAGCAGTGGAGTAGGTTTCCCTTTTCTCTCACCTCACCAATAGGTGTTGTTGGTAATTTTCTGTATATGGGTGATTCTTTCTGGTGTTAGGTGGAACCTCAGTTTTGTTTTTATTTGAAAAGTTAAATTATCTAATACGTAAATTAATACACCAAGTTTTAAATCAATACATCTAATTTTGCTGGCTGACAAAAATCTCTGGCTATGCTTTATATTTTCATGAAATCATTTTTCCATTTAATTGTAATGTAATTTATTATTTTTGCTTACTTGGATGACATTTTATAAAAACTTATTTTTATTTCTTTTTAAATTATTGTCTGTCTATGATACAGTTTCATAAGCCCTGGGATTTCCCCTATCTCTTCCTTAATTCCCTCCCAACCACTGAGTTTCCCTATATTATTACTATAGCATAGTTCTTCTTCATCAACAGTCACATGCTCATCATTGCTGGCATGGACAATGGTAAAGAGTCCAGCAACCTATTGTCAGGATACAGCTACCGGTTTCATTAGTAGTCCATCTTTGATCTGGAAGTAGAGATGTAACTGCACTGCATACTTGGATGATGTTTGAGGAGACCAGTCTGTGTATTTGAGATGTTGTCTACAATTTAGTTATTCTGGTGAAATAGAAAAAGATGCTTAGAATTGTGAGCACATTTTCCTTTACTGTGGAAAACACTTATTTTATATCCTATGCGAGTTAATTATTTGTTAAAATTTAAAACTTGTTTATTAATATTAGATATATTGACTTAATTTTTATAATTTAGTAACAGTTAAGCAGAAAACTTTGTCTTTTTTTTCCAATTTGATTCAAAATAATAATTTATTTGATCTAGTTGGTAAGTAGTATAAAATCCTGAAGCTATTTTATTGCCAGGTTAAGGATTCCATAATGGATGGTGATTAATTAGACATGTATTGTTTAACCCAGTACTTGTTCACTTTTTGTTGTTAGAACATTTGGAGGTCTTTTAATCCCCTGAATTCCATTTCATTGCTTGCTTATATATTTATTGTCATTTTGAATGATGTTCATATTAAATGTATGATTTTCTCTTTTGACTCATTTCTTTTTCTTATGTTAACCTAGTTCTTAAAGGCTTGCTTTTGGTTTGTATTTGAACTGTCTCTTTTAGTTTTTTGCTTATAATCTACCTTTCTTTATGGATTAGATGTTTGCCTTAGCATAGGATGTAACGGGAGAAAAAGAGAGACAGACAGAAGCAGCCTTAACCAGTGGTTTGCTCCTCAGATCACTGTAATGGCTGAATTGTGATTGGGCCAAACTGGATCTGGGCGCTGGGAATTCAGTTTGGGTGCTTCAAATGCATGGCAAGGTTGCAACCACTTGAGCCTCACTGCTGCTTCCCAATATTTGCTTTAGCGGGAAGCTAGAATCAACAACAGAAACAGGACTCAAATCTAGGTAGTATGACATGGAATGTGGATATCCTGGTTGGTAGATATTTCCAAACTGGTAATGTATTTTTTAACTTGTAAATTCAATTCAGTCATATGAATGTAATTTTGTTTTTGTTTTAGAAATTTTTCTGTTTATTTTTTAAAAGATTTTTTTATCAGGGAAATATGCAGAGAAGAAGATAGAAAGATCTTTCATCCACTGTCCACTGGTTTACTCCTTAAGTGGCTGCAATGTCTGGAGCTAAGCTAATCCAAAGCCAGGAGCCTGGAGCTTTTGCTGTGTCTCCCATGAGGGTAACGGGTCCCAAGCTTTGGGCCATCCTCTACTGTTTTCCCAGGCCACAAGCAGGGAGCTGGATGGGAAGTGGAGTAACTGGAATACAAACTGGCATGTATATGGGATCCCAGTGGATACAAGGCAAGGATTTAGCCATTAGACTACCATGCTGGCCCCCAGTTTTTGTATATTCTTAAAGAGAGACTAAAGCAGGATAATCAGAGGCTCCCATCCATTAGTTCACCCCTAGAATCCTGAAACAGGGAGGATGGACCAAGCTGAAAGTGGGAGTGGGACTTAGTCTGTATTTCCAATGGGACAGCAGCAGCTTAGGTGTGTATAATTACCTGTTGCTTCTAAGTGTGTGCATTGGTAGGAAGCTAGAGTTGAGATGGGATTGTGTCTGAAACCCAGATATTTTGAAAGTAGGTTCAGAAGGCCCAAGTGACATCTTCAGTGATGGGCCAAAGGACCTTCCCTGTAATTGAGGTTGTTTAAACATTTTAGCTCTCATTTCCTTTTTGCACTGTTTTTCCTATGATATTTTAATAATTTTTATTCTTCATTTCAACTTTCCATTTGTTTGAAATTTATATGTTTTTATTTTTGACAGAATAACATAGGTGTTACATTATAAAGCAATTTGATATTTCCTCAAAAGTTTAAGTATTGAGTTATAAGTCAGTAGGTATGTGTGTCAGTCAGTCAGTTTTTACTATCACTGAATACCTAGAACATGCTACTCAGGGCTTGACAATTTCAGGGTCACAGAGCAAGATGTTGTGGTCACATTGATTTGGCTGCTAGTGAGATTGGAGGCTGGCAGTTGTGAATCATGTACGGAGGAATGACTACATGGTGAACTAAGATCCAAGTACTTCCAAGCCTCTGTTTGCATAATCAATCCTATCCTAAGAACTGCCTTGGCGGTGCAAGCTCCTAATGAGCTGAGAAACTCATTAAGCCTACCTGGTAAACAATATGATTGAATCAATCCCTCACCTTTCCAGGACTGTTACCTTTAGATTTTTGTTTGCTTTTGCTGTAATTAAGTCAAATTATATCCAAGCAATAGCATTATATAGCCTTTATTCACTTCAAAATCATGTTAAAAATGTTTTGTGTAATGAGTTCATGGTGTTGTATTTTTAGAGTACTCACATTTGGAAATAGGAAAGTGGCTAGCAGCTGCTCAGTGAACTGTGTGATGTATCTGTGCAATGGAATAGTGTTCGGACAATCAATGAAGGGAGTCATTGGTAGATGCTGCAATACGGATGGACCGTGAAAATTCCACACTCAGTGGAAGAAGCTGAGAATAAAAATCCATGAGGTTTGATTCCATTTACATGAAATGTTTTGAATAGACAAGCTTATACTGACAGGTAGTAGATGTGTGATTGTTAGGCTGGGAAAAGGAGGAATTGGAAGATAATGCTTTTGATCTTGAGTTTTGTTTGTTTAAGAAGTTAAAATTTAAAATATACTTTTAGAAAACAACATAGATGATGTTACAAAATATTTTGATGCGAAGTTCTTCTTAAATATTATGCTTCTCTGATATTTTAGGAAATGCAGGTGATAAATGGTTAAAAAGGCAGATGACTGACAAAACAAGTTTGTGAATAAATACCCTACAGTTACAGCTATCTTACTTTTCAGATAATTATAATGAAACCTACTTGTATACATATACATGCAGTTGCATATAATATTTTTAAGAAATCTTAAAAGTATTTTAAAAAACTTTTATGGATTCATCACTGTATTTCTTAGTAAGTATTTCAAAATTCATATAATTTTACCTGTAGATTACTTTTCAAACTCAGTAGGTTTTGGAAAACTACTTGGGACTATCTTACCTATGAAAATCTTTAGTAAGGTTGTTTTCATTGTCTGTGTATGAGATTACCACAAACCAGTCTTCCTGAAACATCATAAATTTGAATCCTATTTTTAACAGAGAAGTTGTAATTTTACGGGCATATAGGGTTCAGTGTGATGTGTTTAAAGTTTTGAGTTTTTAAATTATTTGAAGGACAAGAAATAGTTTTTATCTGCTGGCCAACTCCCCAAATACCCACAATGGCCAAGGGAACTGAACTTGTAAGGCTGGATCTCATTCTAGATCTTACGTGTGTGTGGCAAAACCCCAGTTGCTTGAACCACAACTGCCTCCTCCCAATGTTTGTGTTATGAGGAAACTGAAGTCAGAATTGCTAGATATCAAACCCAGATATACTGCTGTGGGATGCAAGTGTCCTAACTACTAGGTTAATTGAATACTAACATTTCTAGATAATTTTTTAATTTTCCCTTTAATTTTTAAAAA